TATGTACATAACTAATTCTGAGTCATCATCTAAGACTGATTAGAAACTGTACCTGGTTGAACTCGAGCACATCGAGCAGGTCAAAAAGCTTTCGGTTCTTCTCACTGTCCTTCAACTTGCAGTAATACTGCTGTAAGCCATGCAGAGTCAGCTTGGTCTCGTCATCCACAAACACTTCCATCGGCTACACAGCAAAACAGGAGCAAAATGTTGCATGTCTCTCTCAGACACACATTAACACACGTAAACACACATCTACAGACCACATCAGGAAGCCTTGAAGCATGCATGAAGAAAGTAAGGAGCATTAAATGAGGGGAAAACTTCATTAAGAAGTCTGCAAACTTCTTTCTGAAGTTTACTCTGATTCATGTTTTGCTGAGCTTTACGTATGACAACTCCATACATAAGGCTTGCCCCAAGTTTCTAACGGATGAACTGTCCCTGGTGGCCCGCTGAACTTGTTCTCCTTACAGCAGAGCCAGAAGGGGTGAATGTCCTGACCAAGACAAATCTGTTGAGGAGGATCACTTTCCCCCTCTCATATGGCCACTTATGACACTGACAGCCACAAGTGGGCAAAGCTACAAGGGGTTTCAATACAAACACAAAACTGCAATAGCCATGAGATGACATGGATGAAATAATGTATTTAAAAAAAAAAAAGCCAAGCTCACTTCTAACTTTTATGCCACCACTGACCGTAATTAATGTTTGTAGTAATGTATATGTGCATAAAAAGGGAGGAAACTGTTACAGCTACCCGATCCTAGAAAACGATGACATGTAAAGTTATGCAACAGAGCAAAAATACCAAGTGAAAGAAGCTCCAGCACACCTGAGCTACTTGGAAATTATTAACACTTCTTTGATCAATCAGATTGAGAAAAGGTAGGAGAAAGGTAGGAACACTAATAAAACAAAAAACACTTCTATCTCATAATATTTATATTTTCTCAGCTTGGCGCGGTTCAATTTCAAGAGTCAATCTCAATGATAACTCACATCCTGCATGAACTTGCGGCAAACAGGGCGGATCTCCTTGCTTAATGTTGCACTGAACATCATAACTTGCTTCTCATGGGGTGTCAGTTTGAAGATTTCCTGGACGTCACGCCTCATGTCTGTGGCACAAAACAAATAGCACTCCCAAAATTAAATCTATTATTTACAAATAGTAATAACTATAAACTTGTTCATTATTTCTGGATTTAAGGCAGCAGTCTCACTAGTTAATGTTTAATTCGAAAACTGTATATTACAACTAGTACTAATGGATGACTTTGAGATATTTTCACATTAAATCCCACATGTTAGCTTTTGACCAAATAAGCAGATGAGATACAACCAAAAGGCCGAGGTTTCTTAGGCGACTTCTGTACGACAGATTTGTTCCTCTCACTCACCGAGCTGCACCAGCATCTTATCACACTCGTCAAGCACAAAGTGTTTGACGTTCTTCAGACTGAGGGTTTTGTTGCGAATGAGGGCCAGGGTACGTCCTGGAGTTCCCACGACAATGTGAGGGCAATTCTTCTTCAGGACATCCTCGTCCTTCTTGATGGCCATGCCACCGAAGAATACTGACACCTTGACAGTGGGCATGTACTTGGAGAAGCGCTCGTACTCTTTGCTGATCTGGAAGGCCAACTCTCGTGTGTGGCACATCACAAGTACAGACACCTGGAGTGCAGGGAATAAGAACATTAGTTTTACTTCCTCAAGTCCTAATTTCTCCAAAACCCCTATACAAATTGATCCATTTTGTTTTTCAACATACTCATTTTTGAGCAGGAAAACTGCAAGCATATTTTAACTTCTTTAACGCAAGAGGTCTCAAGACTGACAACAGCCCAACATCTGACAGCTAATACAAAATTAATTCAACCGAATCACACCTTGAAACACAAAGTATAAAAACATATAGAAGATGTATTAGCTTGTTAAAAAGCCCAACAACCAACTCACCTGACCATCCACAGGCTCTATCTGCTGCAGGGTGGCAAGTACAAACACGGCTGTCTTTCCCATACCAGACTTTGCCTGACAGAGGATGTCCATGCCCAGAATAGCTTGAGGAATACACTCATGTTGGACTGTAAATAGAACAAATGGTAATCGTGAATGTTTCTGTGGAGGAGCAAGTCTCAATTGAAAGTGTTGCGCTGTTGGTTTAAAACGACGATTATATCCAAGCCATGGTTTTGACCCTTTAACAACACTCACCTTCTGAGGGATGTTCAAAACCACAGTCAACAATGGCACGGAGCAGCTCTGGTTTCAGGAGGAAGTCTCTGAAGCCCGAGCTGTGGATGGATACATAGGACCCCTTCACCTCCTTCTTGTTTGCCGGGGTCCCACTCTCAGGGGCTCCCTGCGGCTCCTCATCCTCCTCATAGTCCAGGAGTTCATTATCAACGTCGTTCTCAGCCATCTGAATGTATTACATGTAAATTGGAGGATCTCATAAATTTACTCAGAATTTGTAAATAGACCATGGTGATTTAAATCTATTTGAAATATAAGAATATAATGAATGAATCTTTACTGCTTACAGTGTATTTACTCTCACACTGCACACATTGTCTGCTTTTACACTGTATATACTAGTTTAATTCCATTTTATATTAGGTATATTCCTTACACTACATTATTATCATTACACTTACGTTTAGCATGTTACTTATTACTTACTGATGCCATATTTATCTTATGTGATCTGTTAATACCATTTTATTGTTCACACTTCTACTAGTACTTACGTAGTACTGTCCAAAAGTTAATTAAAGGGCTTTGTTAGTGATTCGCTGTTAACCAAATGGAATGAGCAGAACAAAGTTTAGACACTAGCTTCATGCCACAATGATCAGGAAACCCAAGTCTGCCTGTTGACAGCAAGGTCCTAGCATCGCTCGGAAAAAACTAGAAGGCCGCAGCGATGGTTCACATCAAAATGAATTAATTGTTGTAGCAACATGATCTTTAATAAATCGACATTATATGAGGACGTTGAGAGATTTAAGTTGAGCTGACTCATACACAACAGCGGACCGGTGGTGACCCGGCGCACTCATCGACAATAGATTTCTATGGAGTACCCTTCATTCAAACCGGCTAGTGAGCAAGCTAGCGGATAACCGTGGATCGGGACCCACGCGTTACTTTCCAACAGCTCCTCCAGCATCGCACCGCTAAGTTCGCGGTATTTTAAGTGACAAAGAAATGTAGTTATTTACCAGTGATGAGCAGCTGCGGCAACTTGACCAACTCAAATGAGAACTGTCTCTCAAAATTAAGCTAGCGGTGTTGCGGCTAGCGTGTTAGCTACCAAAGCGAATTTCCAAGTCGCAACTTTAGCTCCTGCGGCAAAGCAGTCAAAACGTTTCATCGCTGATAACAACTGAGCGCTTAGTTTGGTGTGAAAGGTAGAAACTCTTCACAACGTTACCTCGCTGTGGTGTTTTTCTGTCCCGCAGATGTCTGTGATCGAGCAGCAGAGAACAAGCAAGTGTCCACACCGGAGCTCACATGGATGCTGCCTTCAGGGACACTTCGGAGAAAGCGCTCAGCGTTCGCTGCGCGGTGGACCAATGGCTTTACAACGTTTTTGCACAATACTAACTAAATTAAAAAACGCAAAAAACACCATGGTGCTACTGTTTTTAATAAGGTCTGGTCAAACATGTTTATTTTCCTATAATCTATTCCTACAGGTTTCTAAATTGTCCGGTCCGAATTCGTTGTATTCTAAATACACCATGGGAAAGAACACGTGAAGGCATCAGTCGCAGGACAACAGTGCTGAGGAAACGACAGCGTCCAGTTCTCTGCAGCTGTGATTGGACAGAATCACAAAGGTCAGGTAAAGGCTCAGAGCTGTGATATTCAATGAGAGGGAATTATGCACTGTTATGTCTATCACTGTTAAACACGATTACAGTATGTAGAGTCACCTATAGAAAATGTTTCCCACTAAACCTGCAGTGTGGAACTTTTGTCTCCCTTTTCTGGCAGTGAGAACAATCACACAAACTGTCCTCTCACACAAGGAAAAGTCAGACTCTTGATAATTCCTCTGAATATGAAGTTGCCTTTTTTATCTGAAGCATCAGAAACTTTTCCTGGACACTTTCTTTTTTCCCCCAATATAGGCACTTGTTATAGGCAACTGTGTCTCAGTCACCACGGCTGCTCCCCTCTTCAGCTCTGGCATGCTTGCTGGTTGACATAAAACATGTTGCTACCAGTGAGCCAGGGGCAGGAATGTTGCCACAGACACCAGATATAAAACTATGATATACTGTGAAATACTAACAGATTAACCTGGAACCTATAGGCCAATTTAACACAAGGAACTCGTGTAGCAAGGCCGGAATACTTTGGTTCAATGTAAAATTTAAATGTTCCATTAATTGATTACAGTAGTCAATTAATCATCTCAATGATTTTAGCAGTAGAGTATTGGTGGGTTTTCAGTGTGTGAGGAAATACCACAACTGCCATGACAACAGGCTCTGCATGTTCAGTTGACAGAAAACTTCAAATACGGGCTTTCTGTGACTACAACAAAGATGTTAATTAAGTTAAATTTAGGATGTAACTGTTTTTTATTTTTTTCTTATAATTTTATAATTCTATAGAATCATTTGCTTTGTTAATTAATGTCTTGTGAAAGGAGGCATATTGTATAAGATTATTCTTCTTTATGCTCCTTTCAAGATTGAATATTTTGTGTTTGCATAAAACATTTTAGTTTGGTCGATGAATGAAATTAACTTATGAATAAAAAAATACATATGCATAATTTTAGTTTACATATGTCAAATAATACCTATTTTATATACACTATATATTATATATACGTTTACTATATTTAAAACTAAATGAAAATTAAAACACAAAAAATCAAAAAGCAGAATAAATGGAGAACTTTTATTATCACATTATTAATAATTTAGTTGTCATTAATGACAAATCCGTTTAAGCCTACACTGCTGTATCACACCTGTGGGTCCCGCCTCCCCACAGAATAAAGCTCTACGGTTATTGGCTCTCCTTGCTGTCCTTCCAGAGGAATCCCGTAGTCCTGGCAGGCTATTGGTCGACGACGTGCCAATCATGTCTCATACCGCAACGTGATTGGCTCGCCCTGCCTCGTGCTCGACAGAGTCCACGGAACGCCAGCCATTCTGTGTGATGTCCTCGTAGTGATTAATACAGCGGTCTTCAGCCCGCGCCATGTCCCCGTCGAACCGCAGGCTGCCTCTCCCGGTGCTGTCATGGTTACTGTAATGGACATCTCCACTAACGTTTCCCTCCTCCGGTAACTCCTGTTTCACGTGCTCGAGCCTCCGCCGTGGCTCGCGAGCAGCTGTGCGGTGCGTCGCGGCGGCGCCTCCGCGGTTGAACGGCGGCAGGAGGATGGCTCTGCGCTGGACTGTGTCTCCGTGCTCCTCCGCGGGGCTCCGTTGAGGTTTCTTTTTCAAATTAGCTGCTAGCTTGACGCTAACGACAGACAACGGGTGTGGGAGCGAGGACGACGCGCAGCGCTCAGACTATGGGACCGGAGGTAAGTGTCCCGGGTTTCATGTGTTTATTGTCTAATGGAACATCCGTGTCTGGAGGGAGTGTATATTATTACAGGCCCTCACGCTGAAGCCCCATCAACAGCAGCCTCCTCCGCCTGCTCCGTTCACCTCAGTGTAAAATTCCACTGTGCAGCATACCAGCGGAGACACGGCCCATTCATGAGCCTGGAAACCGTGCGTGTCGCTGTGGAAAAGCGTGCTGCTGCCGCTTTGCCCCCTTTTTTAAAATGTCGTTACACAACCGCTGGAAGCCGGGACAGACAGGGATGATGTGTCATTGTTTTTGGGCCACAGATGTTGAGCCAGCCGAGCCATGAGTCGACTGCAGAGCATGTAGGCCTGTTGTTCAAGCATCCTCCTCCTCCTCCTCCTGCTCCTGCGGCTGATGCTGCTGCTGCTGCTGCTGGAGGAGGAGGAAGAGGAGGAGGCCGGGTCTGACCGAGATAATGAGCTGTCATGTCCAAACAACACAGTCAATAGGATTAAAGCCTCCACAAGTAATGGGGTAAAGGACAGAGGATTACTGGACTCACTCATCTTTCATACATAGCTGTAATATTTGAAACAGCGGTGGGTGGACGGTAGAGTGGCTGCTATGTTGTGTACACCTGTGTGTGTGTGTGTGTGTCTGTGTCTGTGTTTGTCCTGCCCATCCATTAGTCACCTTTGTTTAAAATTGTGTCTGTATGCTCTTTTTTGTTGCCTCTTGATGACCTTGTTTTCTCCCAGTATAAACATTGAACTCAGGAGATGTCATGGGGACTAATGCCTGCTCGGTCCGGTTTCTGAGGTGCTAGTTAAGGTTAGGGGTAAGATGTGAATTGTTGTGAAATTAAGGTAAAGGATACTTTATGATTAGTCATGGTTAAGGTTAGTGATAATGTTTTGGTTAGGCTGTCCATGATGCAAAGTCCTAAAAAGGATAGCTGTGCAAACTGGAACAACAGTGGTTGAACGGTAGAGTGGCTTCTTTCGTTTGTGTGTCCAAATGTTTGTTCAGCATCTAACACAGAGACCCTATACCTGCCCATCCATTAGTCACTGGTTTAAAACTGTCATTTAAATAAACGGTTGTCTGTTTTGTATGGAGCCAAGATCCAGCTGTTTTTGTAGTATCCTTCCAACGAGAGAGCGATTTGCAGGTGAATCCTTTTTGAACATGCATGACTAGCTTGTAAGACAGGAAACCAGCATTACTACTCTAAACCCCAGAGGACCAGTACTGGAAACCACTGAGTTAAATGACTCTGTGCTTTAAATCTGGGCCAGGCCTGTATCATTTTTACCTCCCAAGTCGGATAAAGATTTGAGGATTGACATACTTTTTGGACTATGATTGAGGGATGAGGGATACAACTGACTAGTCACAGAATAAAAGCGCTCCTACAGGCACTTACCTTTTTTTCAGATGGGGGAAGGGGTATTGGAAGATTTAGTTATCTCACTGTGTTGATTGTAATTAGGGCATAAATACCCCATGACTAAAGACATGTACCACTGAGTAATGGGTTCATCAAATCCCCCTATGAGAAACACTGAGGACGCCTTCAGGCTTATCTATGAAAACCACTCACCATGCAAAATACATCTTGTAGATTTCCCCATCAAGGAAGCAGGTATCTGATTCTCACATCCTGGTGACCTTGTTTTTAGGTAGCTCAGCTTCGAAACTATTTAATCTGATCCCATTATCTCACACACACACACACACGCACACACACACACACACACACACACACACAAAACTGCACACTGTGTGGTGCGTAAACACCTCACCTTTTCCCAGCTCACCTTTTCTATCGCACTGACCTACTGCTGCTGCCACCACAGTATTCATCTGTGCGAGACAGTGTAAGCTAATGGGCTGCAGTGTCGTCAAGATAAACCGTCTCTGAGTTATGTTTAAGCTTATGTGTGTAAGTGCGAGCATTTGAACATCTGCAATGTGCATGCATGTGTGTGTGCAGCCTCCAGCAAGAACAGGAGGAGGGATATCATCTTGCAGATTTCTTCATATTCTGTTCAGTTGTAATGCCTGCTGCTGTCCAGGTTCATTGTATTCATTGCAACACAATCAATTTGTTAAATTATGAAAATAACACAGGCCAAACTGCCAAAAAAAGATTATTGTCGACATTTGTTTGTCAACAAAAATTACAAAAACAGTGAAACTAGCCCATCACATCCTCAGATGACTTGTTTTTGTTGTCCAAAGATACTGAATATACTATCATAGAAGCAAATATTTATATATGAGATGGCACAACCAATTATCATTGGTATAATTCAAACAACTAATTTGTTCTGATTAATTTTCTGTCAGTCAATTATGTTTCTGCTCTAAAATAGTAAACGTTAATTTATTTTTCTTTGAAATTTCTTCCCCATGTAATCTTCATCATCATCAAAGTAAAGATTTTGCTGTTTTAATGGAGTTTCAAACAAAATCTTAAATCTGTCTTATGGTCTAAATTTCATCGGCTTGTCCTCCAGACTGGCTTTGCTGGTGGACTGTTTTGGTGTCGGCCTGGCCTGTGCACGGCACTGCACTTTGTCTTCTTTGCTGACACATGGAAACAGGAAGCAGCTTGATGACTTAACTGCCAGGGTTCAAGCTCCATATGACTGCAGCTCCTCCACTGCTCTCCTCTCTCTACCTAACTGGATGTGCAGATTTTACACTGACTGAATGGTGATCTCATTTTCAAACTGTTGCATGTTGGATTTTATGTCTAATTATGTTCAAATAATGAGATATATACCATCGTAAATGTTTCAGAGGAATCCATTTTTAAATCACATGAGCTCTACTTAGAATTTTTCCTTCCTTTCCATCTATTCACCTGTTTGAATGGTAATTGAAGATGTGTCCGTGCCTGACATTCTTACCTTAGGCAAATGGACTATATTCACTATATGATGAAATGCAGGAGTCATTATTAGGATTTCTGTGATTTCTGCAACAGGCTCCTTCTCTGTACTGTGGAGATAATTTCATCAGCATAGTCAGGTTGTCGTTGCTGTTTACGATGTGAAAAGTGAGTGAATGATTTACTGTGTGTGTCATCACACAGGGCTGTCAGGGATGATTCCTTTACACGATGAACCTGTGATATGATTTATCCAATGAGCTAACGGCCCATCAGCTTGCCCCTCTGTGGTGAATAATCTGGACATTAAAAGGTTTATGTAGCTCAGATTAAGTAGCATTTAATATAGTAAGTTTGGTTTCTCTACAAACAAGCCATACTTTCTTCTCTTATTCTCCGCCTGAATGAAGGAAGGCAGCAAATCATGTTTCAGACATTTCGATTTTCTTTTTAGAAACTGAACCAATGGAGTGAAGTCTCTGTGAACACCAGCCTGTATGATTTTACTCTCAGTACAGTTTGAATGGTTTACCCATTTTTCATATAAGGAACTTCTTTTTTGAGATCCTCTTTGTGCATTCTGCTGTTTCCTCTGAGCTATTTCTAAGGCGAACAACAGATGTTTATAATCAGAGCAGGTGCTTAAACAGCAGCTCAGCTACTGATTGCAGTTTACTGCTGGGAACATATGAAATTAAAAGATGATATAATGAATGCAGCAGGAAAACGAATGCTTTAGCATCACATTCAACCATGGCTGTGTGCCTGTGGCAGCACTCAGATTTGTTTCAGTTGCACGATATTAAGTAATCTGACCAGAACTGGTTGTAATACACTGACTGTTGAGTGATATAGAAAAGAGCGTCACATGCTCTGGAAAATAATTGATGGGTTGTGGTGATGGCTATTTCAAGACAATTTCCTTTCACAGTGGCACTCATCTAGAGAGGAATACTAACTAAATTTAGAGCAGGAAAACATTAGTCACACAAAGGGGCCAGTAGGTTTAAGGAAAAATTCTCATCGGCAGTGTCACTTCACTTGCTCCGATTGTGTCTCTTCCTCATTCAGGCTCAATGTTGCGCTAAATTCTTATTGGACAAGTCCCAGAAAACATCTGCCGCAGGGCACGAACTTATCAGAGTTGGTAATTACATCTCAATAATTTATGCAGTGCAGCCTGTGCATTTGGCTCGTTTGTAGAACAGACTGTCGTTACTGTAATGAAGATGCTGAAAAGTTGATGTTGTCCAGGTTGATAAGTAACCATTCCTAGTACACTGAGACAAGATCATAATCCATGGTGTCGTCAGTGCACACTAAAGAGTAGCCCAAGCAGCAGTGGTAAATTACACAAATCATTTACTTAAGCATAATGTTATGCTGCCTGTAACATCATCCAGAATGACCGGTTTAGTGGTGGGTCAACATGTATGGGAGGCTATCTATCGTGTATCCAACACCGCCAAGTACCGCCACAGACTGTCCAGGAGTCCACATCTTGTTCTCAACTAATTATACAATGTACGTCAGTAAAGATTTTCAATTCCTTCATCAAGATCTGATGTGTGAGTGTTACCTTCATGTTTTGAGCAGGGTACTAAATGAATATATTGCATCTGCGATTGTCTGCGATTGTTTGGTGTTATTTAGCAGCATGACACAGAAAACCACTGGACAGATTACCATGAAACCATGAAAGTATGTGGATTTGGTCAGGGAAGAACCTATTAAAATAGTTGAAAGATCTTGATGAAAAAATCTGATATATTATGAGTGAGTGTAATTTCGTTCAGATCCAAATAAAAATTACTTAGTAATTATATACTCATGATAACATTGCATCATATTTTATAAAGTAATCATAAGTTATATGTAAAATGTTATTCTGGTGTAGAAATATCAAAGCATAAAATGAAAATATTCAAGTAAACACAAGACCTCAAGACCATCAAAGTTGTTGCTCTTAGTACTATACATGAGTAAATGTATTTGAAGTACTCTCACACAGACAGTACTTATAATACATTTACTCATGTATAGATTGGGATCTACTATACACAACATTGACCCTCTGGTCTATATGTGGAGTGTGTTTCATATGTCAATATGTCATTATCAGTGCATTGGTTTTAGCTAATAGAGTCATTCGTATTCCAGTTATGGTTTTCACAAACAGTGAGGGAGCTTTGAGCAGCGATATCATCAAGAAAATTAATTCCTTCTTTACAATGGGATTCTTTGAGCAGTGTAGAGTCCAGCAGAAGTCACATGGACAGTGGGGCCAGGAGACGAATGAAGTGGAAATGGAAGAGTCCACGTGTCAATGACTGAACACGAGAGTGTGAGCTTGAACAACAGGGAGGTTAGCAGCTACAGATTAACGGAGGAGTTGCCCTTGATGTTTAGGCTGAAAGGCCCCCGGGGGCAAGAAGCACACACGCGTACACATACAGATGGAAGGGGAGAAGAGGGAGGGTGTAACACATTACCGAGATCGGGGAGGGGGATGTCTAAAAACAAGCCAATATTTCAGTTTTTTCTCTCATAAAATGCAGGTCAGGTTTTTTTGTGTGTTACTGTTTGTTTCTTGGATGAGGGAAAATAATTGACACCACAGAATGTCTGTGATATAGTATGTAATCTTACTGTGTCTTTGCTTATTTGCAAAAGGGAAAATATGGATGGATCTCCCTTTTAGTTGGTCTTCAGAAAGCAGGGGGGTTTGTTTTTTTAATCCTCCTTATTTCTATTGCCCTAGGCTAGCTCTCTCTTACCATTGTGAAGCCCAGATGGGGACCCCAAAGAGGATCTTTACACCAACCAAGAAAAGTGTTTTGTAAATGAGACATATTGAATGCGAACCGGAGATGTCTCATTCGTGTGTGTGCGCGTTTGCGGGCATGTGCGTGTGGGTGGAGGTCAGAAGAGGAAAACAAGAGCATTGTTTGTTTATGTAGACAGTGACAGCTCAGAGTGGATGCGTTTAGGCATAGATTGTGCACAATACCATAGTTGTGCGAGGTGATATCAGTCACAGAGAGACTAAACATAAACACAAAAACAAATTGTGTATCTTAGTGTTCTATCTTTGCTTTCCTTCACAGCAGATGTGTAGCCTGAGCTGCACCGACTCACCCACATTACTCTCAGGCCCACCCTGTCAACTTTGATCAAAATACATTTTGTTACTAGAATACATATTCAAATAAATAAATATATAATAAATAAACTTCGGATTAAAAAACAACTATAAAAAGAAGCTATAGGAAGCCACCAGAACATAGTTCCCATAGACACTCTGTGTGAGCATGAATGATTGAACTAGGGATACTTGTGTGTGTGTGTGTGATTTCTTTCTCTCCTGCTAAGGTTTATGTTTACTTGTCACTTTGCAATTTAAAAAGCAATGATGCTTATTTTGCACCCGTGTGCAGCTGTCACTCTCTCACACACACATACACAAACATATTGACCCGTCTGTCCACTGGCAGAAATCCTGCCCACGTCATTAGCCCATTAATATGCCAATAAGGTTTTTAATGTCCTGGCTATGCCACTGTGCACAATACAATTATTAAGCAAACAGCATGAATAGTTCTTTGCTTTATAAAACCGATGCACAGTTGGTTCTGCTGGCCTGGATATAATGTCTATACAATTGTGTAAAGCCTTTATAGACTTTGTAATGCAAATTAAATTTATAACATTTTTTTTAAGCTTGTTGATGTTTGCCCTTTTATGTACTTCTTTAAAAGTATTTTAAGTCCTTTTTGTGCCTTTTTTAACAGCCCCATCCAAAATGTATTTCTGTCTGTAACACTGCTTCACAGGTCAAACAAGCATATAGTGCAAAACATGCAAAATAGTAACCCTTCATGTAGTCTGCACTCACACTTAACATGCTGGATTACAATGAACCCCCCTCACCCCCTTGCAGTTTCTTCAAGGTAGTACACAATGACAGAGCCTGATGTCATACACAGAGCAACAGCCAAGCTCAGGAAATCTGTCTTTTTTTGCTTTGTCAGACTTTCACAGTGTCCTTTCATTAAAGTGTGTGTGTGTGTGTGTGTGTGTGT